AGCATGAATTAAGACAGTGGGACCAAAGTGTACTGACAGTCACTGTATTCTTCACTGCTATTCACCCATAATAAAAATATGGCCGTTTCACTTAAGGATATCATTGATGAAGCAGTAAAAATGATTAATTTTATTAACTCCTAACCCTCAAGCTCACATCTTTTTCATATTTTATGTAGCAAAATGGTTAGTATACATAAAATACTTCTACACACCAAAGTACAGTGGTTGTCTCTTGAGGAAAAAGCACTTGAGCAATTATGTGAATTGTAAGCTGAACTAGCTGTTCTTTTTTCTTGGAACACCATTTTTATTTGAAAGTATAACTGACAGACAAAACCTATGATTATTTACTCTTAAGTATTTAACAGACCTTTTCTTGAAAATAAAGCAAACTTGTCACTTCAAGAAAACAACTGACAGTATTTGTTGCCAATGATAAAATTTGACCTTTTATGAAAAAAAGTAGGATTTGGGAAAACTTGTATCCACTACTGTGAGCTTGATAGCTTTCCGATATTCAAAAGACTTTTCTGATGAGATTGGTGGTGATTTTTAAATAAACAAATGTGATTTTTAAAATACTGTATCATGAAATGTGTCAACGTTTGGAAGATCTGCATAGCTCAGTGAACAGTTAATTTTCTAAATGACCAATGCATGATGCTATAAATCAAATATAGGTAAAATACACATTCAAAATACTAGATGAACCAATGGATTTTCTTCAAGTATCAGAGTACAAAAAGTTCACTGATTTGTTTTCAGATTCCACATTGCAACTCACTTTTAGGAAACTACCACTTGTGTGTCACAGAACTACCCGGCTACACTGCATGTAGGAGCTCTGGTAGCATAGTGGCTAAGGCACTTGATGCTAACCAGAAGGCTGGCGTTCAAACCTACCAGCCACTCCTTAGAAGGTAGGCTGGGCAATCTACTTCTGTAGTGATATCATATTGCCTCAGAAACCCAAGGAAGGGTTGCTATGAGTCGAGTCTGGCTCAATGGCACGTAACAACAACACGACAACCACTTGTTGAAGGACTCCTGGTAGTGCACTGGTTAGGTATGCAGCTGTTAACGAAAGGTCAGCGGTTTGAACCTAACAGCCATTCCTTGAGAGAAAGATGTGGCAGTCTGCTACCACAAAGATTTACAGCCTTGGAAACTCTATGGGGGCAGTTCACCCCTGTCCAACAGGGGTCACTATGAGTTGGAATCAACTTGATGGCAACGATACCACTTGTTGAATTTTAATGAAGTATCAAAAGAGAATATCCACAATTATCTGAACAGGCTATTAAAAAAATATTGCTTCTTTCCCAACTATTTGAGCAAGGCTAGATTCTCTTCATAAACCTCAGTCAAAATAAAAATTTTAACAGATTGCAGAACCAGATACAAAAATCCAATGGTTTTCAATTAAGCCAGACATTTAAAAAATTTACAAAAATTTAAACTTATAAAAATTTTAAGCAATGCTGCTATTCTTTTCACTAAACATTATTTTCACCTATTTTTGTTTTTGAAAAGAATTATTTTTCATATTTATGTTTACACAGTTTTATTATTGATATTTTTAATGAATAAATTTCTCAGTTTTAACTTCAAATAAAGTAGATAATAATAGATATGCCAAAACCCATTGCCATTGAGTCAATTCTGATTCATTGTGACCCTATGTGTTATATAGAGTAGAACTGCTCCATAGGGTTTCTTGCCTACAGTCTTTATGGAAGCAGAGTGCTAGGCCTTTCTTCCACAGCACTGCTGAGTTGGTTGGACTACTAACTTTTAGGCTAGTAGTTGAGTGCAGACTGTGTGTGCCACCCAGAGACCTATACAGGTATAACCTACATAAATGATACTCTTTAGGGTCCTCAGTAATTAGAGTGAAAAGGGTCTTGAAACCACAAAGCTTGAAAACAGCCAGTATAAAGGATACAGTGGGATTTGGAGATGAAGAACCTAAATTCAAATTCCATTTCTACCACTTAATTGATTTTATTAAGTTATTTAGTGCAGTCTCTGAAGTCAGACTGTGTGGGTTCATAATTTTTGTTCTACCATTTGCTGGTAGTGTGACTTTGGGTGAGGATAACAATTGTACCTACTTCATCATATTGGGGTATTTCTAAAATGGTTACAAAGTTCCTAGAACATTTTAAGAGCTCAGTAAATATTTGCAACCATAATTTATCTACGACAGTAGTAGTCAACAGGATCTTAGAGAATGGGACACAGTTCTGGCTTTCTTCATCCTCTCCATAGAAAACAGAAGGTATTTAAATAAAAAACTCACTGCCATCCAGTCATTGCGACTCATAGCAATGTTGTAGGACAAAACAGAACTGCCCCACAGGGTTTCCAAGTCTGTAAATCATAATGGAAGAAGACTGTCACATCTATATCCAAAAGAAGGGCTGGTGGATTGGAACTGATTACCTTCCAAATAGCAGGAGCATTTAACTGCTGTACCACCAGGACTCCCAGAAGCTATTTAGGCATTACTAGTATGAGAGAAAGGTATACCTAAACTTGTGGCTATTTGTGTATGACTTGTAAGAGAACTAATGCGTTATAAAAATTATCCTCTTTCACTTTCCTTTTTCTCTGTGTATAAAGAAAACAAAACTGAAAAACATTCCCTGAACCCTTGTCCTATAATAGATTTAGAAAACAGGGAAGTATCTTATTTGAAACCCAAAGGAATACAGGTCTTCAGAAAACTAAATGCTCCGGAGACCTGGCCAGGGCTCAGGATCATCACCATGAGAAATTCATTTAAACTTTTCACCTCAGTTATGTCATCTTTGGGCAAGAGCATCTCATCTCCAACCTCCCTTGGCGGTTTTAAATCATGTCAAGTCCACCTCTACATCTTTTAAGGGTACCTTTGCACAGTTGTGGCCCACAACAACAACAACAAAGTCCAAATAAATACAAGGGGGGAGGAGGAAAATCCCGAGATGAAGAGTCCTTGATTCTTGTCTTCCTTTCCTTTTTTACTTTGTAAATGCCAACAGTATCTGTTCACCTCAGCACCCAGAAGTGGAGATCTGGTCAGAGGTAGCGCCTCCTAGTGTAGTGCCCTACGCTCCTTTTTATCCTTTCTTCTATGTCTCATCAGGGACGCACATCCTCGCGTCTCCCATGGGCTCCTGCACTATTCACGGCGCATCAATAGGGTTAGCCCGAGTGCCACCGGGGGCAGGCGACCTGTTTTCCCGTCTGTTAAGTAAAAAGCAAGACTGGATGATTTTTGAACAGAAATTCGAAGTATTGCCTTACACCTATGATGTCTTAATCCCCATTTCTGCCTTTTAAAGACGTCTGGTTTAGACGCACCTCATCTCAAAAGCGAGAGCACACAGCAAATACCACCACCCTCCGGCTTTGCGTTCTAGCTCCCTGCCCGCAGGGAAGAGCCACATCTCGCGCTATTCCCTCCACTTCTCGCGACACTTCATACCAGTACCCCTGCGGCTCTCCGCGCCCACGAGTCACTGTCTAGCTGAGACTTAACCTATCTTATCTTTGCTCTCTGCAGCCTGGCCCGCTGGGAGCGCGGTGGAGCTTGGAGTTCGGCACAAGCCCGGCGGGGCCACAGACTCCACCCTGCTCCGCTGCTCCCTGCCGGGGCTTGGGGGAAAGGTCGCCGCCGGGAAATGTTGTGCCCCTGCCTGCCAAAGCAGGAGCTCTTGAGAGGCAACGGGGCTGCCGGGTGAGTGAATGACGGCGCTGCTTGGAGGCCCTGTCTGGGTGCCAGCTGGAGGCACTGCTGGATGGGAAGACGGAGACGGAGGAGGATGCCTAGCCCGAGGCCAGGGTGGAATCTGGGAAAAATAGCGGCGGGGAGTGGGGGTGACCTCAGTGCTGGGGAAACAGCCAAGGCCCCCCGTTTGTATCGACTTGCACCGTAGGGCGCTGAGAAATTATCTCGTTTCCATTGGCGGCTCTCCCTCCCGGAGGTGGAGGGCGCAGAGGACAAGTCTCCGAGCTCTGAGGCCCCGGGGGTGGGCGGCGGGAGGCATGGGGTCGTAGGGAGAAGCAACGCGCCCAGGTGGCCGAGGTACATTTGTGCTTGGAAAAGGGATAATGTAGCGGGAAGGATGGAGAGGTTTGCTCAGAGAGAGGCCAGGTGTTTGCCATTCCATTGTGCTGCGTGCTGAGATACCCCTAGTCTTGCTTACTCGCCGCAGAAACGCGTAAGAGTAAACTTTTGATGCCTGAGTGATGGTGGGAATGTCGAATAGTGTCAGTGTTGAAGGAAGAAAAAAGGAAACACACAGGTGAGAACCTTCTTTGAGGGATGGAGGCCCTTTAGGGCACTTGTAACTTTCACCTGAGACTTGGACTCTGTGTGTGTGCCTATATGGTCTGAGTGGGTGTGCAGTGCTGCAGTGGCCTGGAGCAAGTTTTCGTAATTGGCACGCAGTCCCTAATTAAATACGATTAAGTACACTTGAAGGATCAATCAAGAACCTGATTCTTCAATGAAAAGTGTTTTCAATATTTTAAGAGTCCAGTAGTTATGTATATGTGTAATGATGGAGGCAGGGAGCCTAAAACCTAGGTGCTGTTAGGACATGGCACACTAACTTGGTTGGAGTAAATAGTTTAGCCTTGGCACTGGGTGTAGGTTGGAAATTGGGAGACAATGTTGTGTTGCAACCAAGTTTTGACTGCGTATTACTTGTGATTCTTGGTTTGTTTTATAACATTGACTGAAACAGTGCAGTTTTCTGAGAGAATTGAGAATTTAGTCTGTGCAAAGTGGTTGCTCTGGCTAGATGTATTTTGTTCTAAGTCCTCTTAAAATCTGGTTGCTAATTTCTGTTATATTTTATTTTAAATTATGTAAGCCCTTAGAATTTTTTTTTCTTTCTGAAAATGACTTCTCTTAAAATGATTAGTGTTGTGCCAACAATTACCCTTTTAATAGAAGGAAAATCATTTTCCTGATATTTTTCTTTTAACTTGTCTTTTAGAGAGCGGAATGTCATCAGTAGAACCACACCAGGAACAATTGTCCCAGTCAGATCCATCTCCATCACCAAACTCATGCAGTTCCTTTGAGCTAGTTGACATGGATGCTGCCAGTTTGTACGAACCGGTTTCTCCTCATTGGTTTTACTGTAAAATAGTAGATTCTAAGGAGACATGGATTCCTTTCAACTCTGAAGACTCACAACAGCTGGAAAAGGCATATGGCTCTGGTAGGGTGGAGATGATGCCAAAGACTATCATCTCTCTCAAACTGTAATAGTCCTTATGGTGAACTTTATTAAAAATAAATTTTAGATTTTTCCAGCTAAGTGATCTCGTAGCATACGTTTATATGGAAGTTTTGCGTTAGCTCTGTATTTTGAAAAAGTACCTGTTGTAATTTCTGCATCTATCCAATAGTATTTATTTTGTTCTAGCCTTTGTTTCAGATCTGTTTTTTTTTTTTTAAATAAAGAGTACATGTGTATAGGAGGGAGGATGTCTAATCATAAAAGAATGAATTTTCTAACTTTTCAATTGTTTCTTATAAAACAAGAATGGTGTTAGTTACCACTACAGCATCATGATGGTCATTAGTTTACCTTTTAGTCTTTCAAGTAAAATAATTCAGAGATCTTCTTGTGTTTTTTATTTTTTTTAAAAAAGGGACACTACTCTTTCTCAAAAGAACAAAGCCGTGTTTTGGTAATATATTTCATTAAAAGCAAGAATGTATTTCATAATCTGTAAAGTGGATAGTGAACAAAGATAACAATTAAATTCCATTTTATTTAATGTTTAGCCAAAAAAGAAACTTGTTCATTTATATATTTTGTAATATTATTTAGAGTCTATCTCAGCATTACATTTTGAGGAGTTTATCGTAAAATATATACTTCTTTTCCCCCTCCCAATTTTTGATAGGGAACGATTGTAATGGGAGAGTTGTCCCCACTGATGGGGGCAGGTATGATGTTCATTTGGGGGAGAGGATGCGGTATGCTGTATACTGGGATGAGCTAGCATCAGAAGTAAGACGATGTACCTGGTTTTATAAAGGAGACAAAGACAATAAATATGTGCCCTACTCGGAAAGCTTCAGCCAAGTGTTAGAGGTAATGCTGCTACATTACAGGGTAAAACCTTTCTTAAGGCTCTTCTCTCATTATTTTCTTCCTTTGTTATCTTTAATATTTTCTTCCACTTGTGACTTATTTTGTAAAATTTCCAGAATTTGTTCTATCTGCGTCATACTTTATAGCATTTGTTTCTACAAGTTAGTTTCAGGATAAGGTAGTTTTCTTTTCAGATTTTAAAATACTGCAGAAACTATGTCTTTTTCCCCAATGGTGATTTTTGTTGCTACTTAAACCATGACCACAGGATTGATCTTTTTAGACTTATTTTCCTTGCCCTGAAAACTGTCTGAAATTTGCGTTCTTCAAATTGGAGGTAGGATATTCTTATTGAAATTCTTGTTAATCCAGCAGTATTCTTGTGAATAAGTTCAGTTTTAATAGAGAAGCTGTTAGAGAAATTAATGAAATGTGTTTTCTTTTAAGGAAACTTACATGCTTGCTGTAACTCTGGATGAATGGAAAAAGAAATTGGAGTCTCCCAACAGAGAAATCATTATCTTACACAATCCAAAGGTAAAGCGAATTAAAGCATTTCTCTAATGTTGGAATGAAAGGTTAATTGTTGTTGTTGTTATGTGCCATCAAGTCGGACCCGACTCATAGCGACCCCTCCTTGGGTTTCCGAGGCAGTATCACTAAGGAAGTAGATTGCCCCATCTTCCTTTCCGAGGCAGTATCACTAAGGAAGTAGATTGCCCCATCTTCCTTCCGAGGAGTGGTGGGTGGGTTTGAACCGCCAGCCTTCTGGTTAACAGTCAAGTGCCTTAGGCACTAAAGGTTAATTACGTCAAGGAAAACCAAGGTTCAAATTGGTTCATTCAATTTGAACCCCTTTCTGAGAATTTACATTTCTATAAGAATCTATAGGAATTACTTGGGGATTTGTTAAAATAATGGTTCTGATTCAATGTATCTGGAGTGGAAATGTAAATTCTCAGCAGGGGGTTAAGTCAGAATGAAGCCCTGAGAAAAACTTGGTTTCTCTTTCCTAGGAATTCTACTTGGGATAATCTTTGACAAATTTCACAGTGTGTTCACAATTATGAAAGTTAAAAGTTGCAGCCACTTTACCTCACTCATCTTACATGAAAGAATTTTCTTATGGAAAATTGTACCATTGTAGATTAAGAAAATCACACATTATGTGGTCATATCTGCCATGTATAGGAAATCGTTGGAAGATCTGTTAGCCTGATGTATTTGAGGGTTCTCATTTCGAGCTATGAGTTGCATGTTGAAACTCCAGTTGAGATTTGACTATGTATTGACATAACCCTTACCCTTCAAAATGTATATAGAGAGGTGATTGTAATGTAGATATCTGTATTGCTCTGATCTTTTCTATTTAAGCTCATGGTACATTACCAGCCAGTCGCAGGGTCTGATGAATGGGGTTCAACACCCACTGAGCAAGGTCGACCAAGAACAGTGAAGAGAGGGGTTGAGAACATTTCTGTTGACATACATGGTGGTAATGTTAATCATTTATTCCTTCTTATCTTTCAGTATACTTCTTTTGTGGTGGTTGTTGTTTATACCTTAAATTGTGACGTTTTTCTATGGACTTTCATTGCCTCAAAGTTTAAAAATAACCTTTACTTATGGGTTTAGTCAAAATCTTTAGTCATATGGGTTTATTCTGAGTTAAGATTAGAATCACTTCATCTATTAAGAATCTTAAAGATGTAAAGATATTGCTAAGTTAAGTACATAGGGTAGGGTGCAGTAAGAATTTGGCAGTACTACTTAGGAAGTTATTAAGTACAGATGACCTGATTTAGTCAATTCTAAGAAGTGTGATTTTACCTGATAAATTAGAAATTTATTCCTGGTAACCCTTGTCGTAGAAGGACAACTATTTCTCAGTAAGACCTTAGTGATTACCCATTGCTATCTAGCTAGATTATTTATGGTTGGTTTCATAATATGCTTACCTGGTTATAAAATTCCTTTTATCTCACACTGGAGATGATTTGGTGGTAGTTTTTTTTCCTGGACAAAGTCTTAGATTAGATTTACTGAAATTTAAAAAGATGAGAATTTAAATTCGCTTCAAAAATACACCAGCGATTCTTGGCGTAATTGATAAAAGTGGAATGTTAGATCAATGTTGAATTGCCCAAATTCAGTAACCATACTGTGGTTATGTAAGAGAATATTCTTAGGAAATACGTGTTAAAGTATTAAATGATTTAAGACACGGTTCAGAAAAATAAATGTGTATGTGTGTAAGCCAGGGCTTGGAACTGGTTCATTCTGGGTCAACCCCCTGCTGCGAATTTATATTTCTATCCCAGAAATACTGAATCACAATCTACACTTTAACAAGATCTCGTGTGTGTGTGTGTGTGTGTGTGTGTGTGTGTGTGTGTGTGTATGTGTGTGTATGTGTGTGTGTGGTGTGCGTGCACACGCAGCGGCAGCAGCAGCAGCAGCAGGTTGTCAACCAGGAATGAACCAGTTCAAAGCCCTGATCTATGCACATATATAGATATAGAGAGAGAATAATCAAGCAAATATTAATTGAATGTATGTAAAGAGCACATGAGTATTTCTGTACCATTCTTTTTCAACTTTTCTGTAAGTTAAAAATTAATTCAAAGTAAAAAGTTAAGAAAACTGAAAATTTTTCTCACAGATTTATTTCAAGATAAATTAGAAACAGTAAAATCACTGTTTTCACTAAGTAGTTAAATATAGAACTAGTTTATGCCTTTTAAATTATGTTTAATTTTTTTTTTTAAACATAGTCATTGTCTTGGTTATCTAGTGCTGCTATACTTGTGGGTAGCTTTACCAAACAGAAATCTATTTTCTCATGCTTTAGGAGGCTAGAAGTCCGAATTCAGAGCAAAAGCTTTCTCTCTCAGCAGGCTCTGGAGGAAGGTCCTTGTTTCTTTGAGCTTTTGCCCCTCAGCAGTCTTCCTGTGGTTTAGCATCTACCCCTGTCTCTTCTCTTTAGTGCTTATTTAATCTCTTTAATATCTCAGAAGACAGTGATTCAAAATATACCCTATGCTAATCTCACCTCATTAACATAACAAAGACAACCCATTTGCAAATGAGGTTAGGAATTACAGCACAGTTTTGGGGAGACAATTCAATCTATCACCCATATTTATAACTTATTTATTGTGAATGTTTCATTTTAGAATACATGACCAATTCTATAGAATAATTTTTCTTTTTAATTTCATTTATAGGGGAACCTTTACAAATAGATCATTTGGTTTTTGTAGTCCATGGCATTGGACCAGCTTGTGATCTTCGCTTTCGAAGCATTGTACAATGTGGTAGGTTTATAAAGCCTGTGAGATTAGATCATTTAAGGGGAGTGTTAGTTAGTGTTCCTATTAGCTGAGATAAAGTGTTATTTTTGGTCGGTTGGCTTAGCTGCATAATAAGATTTGGAGAGCTAAAGACAGGTGGCCTGGTAGTAAAGCTTCCCAGCTTAGACCTAAAGTGCTAGTAAATTCCTAAGGCTCATAGTTTATACTCTTAAATAATAATTCTTGAGTGAATAAGGCCTTAACACTGTAAAATCTTTTATGAGGTGATGGTCCTATTTCTAACCACTTCAAATGTAAAGGGGAACATAGGATAATATAGTTTAAATAAATAACAAGCTTCAGTCACTTTTGTAATTCACACTGTGGTAAACCTCTTGATATTCTAATTAATAGATTTAAGTCATTAGTATAACTTGACTTTGAAAGGTGGAGCTCTCTAAAACTCAATAGTATTCAAAGTCTAATTGTCCCAATTAGGAAGTCTTAAATTGTTGCATCATAATCCTAAACATAAATTAGAATAGTATTTTGGAAGGTTAAGATTGATATGATATGAATTTCAAACAGCAATGGTTTTGCTTTTCTTTTTTTAAATCCAGAATATTGGGTGATGGTTGTTTATATCAAACAGAGATTTAACTACAAGACTTACTGAGAGGTAGCCATGTGATTTTTTCTTTTTCCTTTTTAAATTGGTAAACTTCCCATGATACAGTAGAAGCTTTGAAGTTAACTTTTCTTTCAATTAAATGTTTTATATGGTAATACGGAATTCTGAGTAAAAGAAACATCTTCTATGTGCACTAATAATTTTTCCTAAATAGCACTTGGCTATTTTTGACTCAAGGAGCTCTGGTAGCATAGTGCCTAAAGCACTTGACTGCTCACCAGAAGGCTGGCGGTTCAAACCCACCAGCCACTCCTCGGAAGGAAGGTTGGGCAATCCTACTTCCGTAGTAATACTGCCTCGGAAACCCAAGGAGGGGGTCGCTATGAGTCGGGGCCGACTTGATGGCAAACAACAACAACAACAGCATTTTTGACTCAAGTCTCAATACTTTCTAAGGAAGTATGTTGTTGTTATGTGCCATCCAGTTGGATCCAACTCATAGTGACTCCTCCTTGGGTTTCCGAGACAGTATCACAACGAAAGTAGATTGCCCAACCTTCCTTCCAAGGAGTGGCTGGTGGGTTTGAACTGCCACCTTTCTGGTTAGCAGTCAAATGCCTTAGGCACTACACTACCAGAGCTCCCAAGGAAGTATAGTTAGAGCAAAATTATGAATTATATGATCCTAATTCTGTTGATTCATTGGTTCACTGTTAATGCAAAGATAATTTTCTTTGTAGTTAATGATTTTCGCAGTGTTTCGTTGAACCTGCTACAGACCCATTTTAAGAAAGCCCAGGAAAATCACAAGATTGGGAGGGTAGAATTTCTTCCAGTCAACTGGCACAGCCCTTTGCATTCTACTGGTGTAGATGTGTGAGTAATACCTTATACCTCTGAATTATTAACTGTGATTATATTGTGTTTTGTGTTCACTAATATGCTTAGGGACATTTCTGGTTTAGCTGATTATATATTTAAAATTTTGTTCAACGAAAACTTTTTGTGCTTCTGTGTCCTTTTCTAGAGATACGATATTAAATGCTGGTCAGTCCTTTGAAGGAGCTCTGGTGATGTGGTGGTTAATACATTGGGCTGCTAACCAAAAGGCCAGTGGTTCAAACTCACCAGCCACTCCATGGGAGAAAGATGAAGCAGTCTGCTTCTATAAAGACATAACAGCCTTGAAAACCCTATGGGGCAGTTTTATTCTGTGTATGGGTCACTATGAGTTAGAACTGACTTGATGGAAGTGGGTTTTTGGGTTAGGAGTAAAGAGCAGCCTGTATCTTCCTCTTGTAAGCCTTGCTGACTCATTCGTGTATGTTATTGAAGCTTCATTATTTATTTATTTCAATTTTTATTGTAATTTGGGTGAAAGTTTACAGAGCAAATTCATTTTCTGTACAGCAGTTTGTATACATTTTGTTTCATGACATTGGCTGCAATTCCCCACAAAGTAACAGCTTCCTTCCTACTTCCTCTCCATAGGTATCTCTTCCCTATGTCTTTCCCTCCCAAGCACTGCCACCCCTGGAATTATCTCCCTGTGCATACACTGCCCTTCTGTTCTTCCATGATTGCTCACTCCAAGTAGTGTATCTACCTAACGTAAATGTTCAACCGATATGCCTGTCTATTATTTGGCTAGAAGCCACAGGAGTGAATTCATTTCCAGACCTGAAGGGCAGCAAGGGGCCATAGTCTCAGGGGTCTGTCTCACCAGTCTCTAGCACATCAGCAAACCTGTTTTTTTTTTTTTTTAATGATTTTGAGTTTTGTTCCACATTGTTCTCCTACTCTATCCCAGATCTCCTACATGGATCTCCCTCCTAGTGGTTGACAGTGGTAGCCAAGTACCATCTAGTTCTTCTGGTCTCATGGTCATATAGGGTGAGGATCACATGGTCTGCCAGTCCCTTGGACTAATTGTTTCCATATGTCTTTGGTTTTCTTTATTCTTCTTTGCTCTGGACAAGGAGAGACCCTCATTGTTGCATCTAGATGGCCACTTGCAAGAAGCTTCATTATTTCTTTTGCATTAAAGCCAATCATTGCTTTTTTCCCATCATGAATAAGCATTTCCATCTTCAGATGTCAAAAGCCTACTATACCTCAAGAAGTCTGAAGTATGTTTTTGTTCCTTTTGTGATTATATTTGTGATACTTGTCCAAATTAAGGAAAATGGGAAGGAAACCCCCAAACATTAAATTATTAGGACTCATAACTTGAGGTCTGACTGGTTTAATAACTTTGAAATGATAGCCTTCTTAAGTTAGAAGCCTCATGTTTTTTAAGAAGAAGGAGGTTGCCTTTATATCAAGGAAATCCTGCTATGTGTGACTCTCCAGGGAGAAGAGATGTGTTCATAATACAGTTTTAGGATAGAAGAAGAAGAAAAGTTGCTTCTTTGGAAGAATAGAGGAAGTGTGCCTTATTTTTCACAAATAGCGCACCCACAGAAATGTTGAAATTATGTAAAAGTAAGTTCTGGCATGGCACACCTATGAACATACCGTACGTGTCTCATGATATTTCCAGAAGTGAATTTTGGCCTCGTTCACCCTCATTTGATAGTCTGAAAGTGTAACTTTTGATCCTAATTGTATCATAAAGGTATGGGGAGGAAAAAATAAAGCCATACTCACTGCCATAGAGTCGATTCTGACTCATAGCAACTCCCGCTGGATTTCCGAGGCTGTAAATCTTTATGGAAGTAGATCGCCCCATCTTTCTTCCATGGAGCAGTGTGATCAAGAAGTCATGGATCGAGTTTGGTAGTGCTCTGGTAATGGGAAAATAAACAGTTGAAATTGCGTGTTTTCTCTGTGGTAGTTCGCAGCTGGGCCTGAGAGCCATGGAGTGCCTTGTAGCCCATCTGCACTCAGGCGTGTCATGCCAAAGTTGGTTGGAGGGTTGGGCTGAGGGCGGTATGTGGGGCTGCCATAACCTGAGCATGGCTGGTCCTGTGGTGGGCAAGGGCCATTGCCCATACCTTTCTGGGTTCCATGGTACTGGCCCCACATGAAGCCAGATGGCATCATAGTGCAGGTGTAAGAGTGTACTGCCCAGCCTCGTCCATGTGAGGAACCTGTGACCCACCCCTCTGTGCCCGCAGCTCTTATGTCTACTGCTTGATGTCTGCATGGGTGGGAGATTCAAGCTGCCTGAGTGCAGCGGCTGGCCAGCTAGGTGGTGGGTGGAGTGTGCACAATTGCAGTACACCAGCCTTGCCTGCCTGAGTGGCCTCTCCTGCCTGGAGAGTGTAGACCTGTGCATCTCTTGGGCTGGGGCTAGTTACCCTGGAAAGGGCTGTTTTGGGGACAGAAAAAATGATTTCTTCCTGCATTAGAGAAAGCAGTTTGCAGAGCAGGAAGAAATCTTGGTGGGACAAGGGCTGCTTCAGGAACTCGAGGGTAGGTTAGTGAGGGTCTGTTGCTGGAAATCAAACCTCTGTGTCAGTGGACACCAAGACAAAGACTTAACATTAAATCCATTGGACAGGAAAAAAAAATGAAATGAAAATAATCAACGTGTAAAGAATATGTATTGGTACAGTGTAGTTATGAACATAACACACAGGGTTGCATGTGTTACTTGTGTAAAAATAACAGTAGTTAGCATTGTTGCCATGCTGATCCTGGAAATGGACTTACTGATTCTAAGTCTCTCAATTTTTAATAGTCTATGATTTTAGCATGTTCCATGTACCACATGCTCCATTGTGGTGTTGCTTTTACTAGGTAAGGAATCTATTCTTTCACATTTGAGTTGATGCTAAGATGTTACTAAGGCCACATTAGCTCTCTTTAAACCACAGAAGCTGTTGAATCATTGAAGAATCTCTCTGGGAGTTTTGAGAAAGCTTTAATTGGAAGGTGATTTAGACTGTCAGCATGGTGTTCCTTTAGCAAATATGGGTTCTGTTTCCTTTTGGCATCTGGCATTCTAACTGTTATTATGCTTTCTGAAATTCTGTATTGAGAGAGAAGCTTGATCCTTTTATTATTTGCCTTGTGATTAAAAAAAAAAGTTAATGCTGAGAATTTTAGGAAAAACTTCTTGTATCTGTTTTTAAAACTTTTTATTATAGAGAATTTTGAACATACAAAATAGGGTATATGTATCTCACTCATTGCCGTTGAGTCATTTCCAACTCATGGTGACTCTTCCTAGGGTTTCTAAAGCGGTATCTTTATGGAAGCAGATTGCCCATTCTTCCTTCCAAGGGGTGGTTGATGGGTTTGAACTGCCAGCCTTCTGGTTAGCAGTCAAATGCCTTAGGCACTGTGCCACCAGAGCTCTCATATGTGTGTGTGTGTGTGTGTGTGTATGTATGTATGTCAATGAATCTCCATGTACCAATTACCCATCCCCAATAGTCTTCAACCCAGTGCCTGTTCTGCCTCATCTGTACCTTTATACCTCTATCTACTGTTTCCTCAATATTATTTTTGAATCAACTCTTAAAAATCATATAGTTTCATCTATAAAAGTTTCAGTTTGTGTATCTTAAAGATAAACCAAAAACTCACTGCCATCGAGTCAGTTCAACTCATGGTGACCCCTCCTTGGGTTTCTGAAGCAGTTGTTGTTGTTGTTGTTATGTGCCTTCGAGTCGGCAGTATCTCTATGGAAACAGATTGCCCAGTCTTCCTTCCGAGGAGTGGTTGGTGGGTTTGAACCGCCAGCCTTCTGGTTAGCAATCAAATGCCTTAGGTATTTTAAAAAATACATAAACATACACCATTATCACACTGAATGTAGTTCTTTTTTTTAAAAATGCATTTTATTGAAATATAATTTATGTACAGTGAAATACACAAAACTAAAGTGACATGGGTCAATGCATTTTTTTTTTTTTGCAGTCCCTCCCTCTCCTCCACCCCCCCTGCAACCAACAAAGAAAGTTTCCCTCCATATATAAACCTTTCCTTGACCTTCCACAACAACGAACTAATACTATATTTGTCCTTCTGTGATTGACGTATTTCACTCAGCATAATGTCCTCCAAGCTCATCCATGTTATGTGGTGTTTTGCAGACTCTACACGCATAGCATTCCATTGTGTGTATGTACCATAGTTTGGTCATCTACTTTTCCATTGATGGGCACATGGGTTGTTTCCATCTTTTTGCTATTGTAACTAGTGCTGCAATAAACATGGGTGTGCATCTATCTGTTCCTGTCCTGGCTTTCACCTGTCTAGGATATATACCCAGTAATGGGATTGCTGGGTCAAATGGTATCTTCAATTCCAGCTTTCTAAGGAATCACTCTACTGCTTTCCACAGTGGTTGTGTCACTTCATAGTCCCACCTGCAGTGTATGAGAGTCCCAATCTCTCCACATCCCTTGAACATAATTCTTTTTTTTTTTAATTTTTATTCTGATTTGGGTGAAAGTTTACAGAGCAAATTCACCTTCCATACAGCAGTTCACACACACCCTGTCTCATGACATCGACTACAATTTACCCCAATGCTACAGCTCCCCTCCCCCTGCCTCCTGATAGTTACCTCTTCCTTGTGTCCATCCCTCCATGCACTCCTGCCCCCCAAGCTGTCTCCCCGTGCATAACCAGCCCCTTTTTCTCCCATCCTTAAACATAATTCTTAGTATCATCAATATCTAGTCATTGTTCAAATTTCCAATGATCTAATAAATGTCATGATATATATACGCACAGATGTACACACACACAGATATATTTTTAAATAGGGTCCAAATAAGGTCCCTAAATTGTGTTTAGTTGATATGTCTTTTAAGTCTTTTTTATCTCTCAATTACTTCTCCATCTCTCTTATTTTCTTGCAATTTATGTATTGAAGAAACTGGGCTGGTTGTCTTATACAGTTTTTAGAACTGAATTTTGCTGCTCACATCCCTTTGGTGATATTAAGCATTTCCCTCTATCCTTTGTATTTTCTATAAATTGATAGTTGTTGCATATTATATTTGAATGCCTAATTCTAAACTTGAAGGCTAAGCTAACTCAGAGAAGGCTGTGAAATGTATTTAGGTTTTCTGCTGAAAATATCCTTCCTTTTTTTCAGAGATCTACAGCGAATAACCCTGCCCAGCATTAACCGTCTCAGACACTTCACCAATGACACAATTCTGGATGTCTTCTTCTACAATAGCCCCACCTACTGTCAGACTATTGTGGACACAGTTGCCTCTGAAATGAACCGAATATACTCACTTTTTCTGCAGAGAAACCCTGATTTCAAAGGGGGTGTATCCATTGCTGGTCATAGTTTAGGTAACAAATGAGTACTCTGTGTCAAGTGAAAACTGTCATATTTTCACAACACTTGTTTTTGAAGCTCAATTTTTTTTTTTTTTTTAAATCAGTATCAGATTCAGAAGTCTAGAACTTCTTCGATAAAGATAATTCTTTGATAAAGAATTTGGAAGGGTTGGGATGGTGGTGGTGGATTACAACAAAAGAAAGACTGCTTGATTTGTAGATTTGTTTACAGGGGTAATTGGCCTGTTACTTTGTAAAAGACAGTCACTTAGTGCTAATGCTTAGAAATTGTTCCTTCTTTCTTCTATTTTACTTATAGGTTCGCTTATATTGTTTGATATCCTCACAAATCAGAAAGATTCTTTGGGGGATATTGACAGTGAAAAGGTAATTTAGATGTTCAGATAGGTTCTCTTGTAGTATTCCTTACGTTTTTAGATTTTAGGCTTATTTTTTGTTTTTGGCTGTGTTTAGTCTTCTATTAATTTACATTTATTTTAACAGACTTGTATTACTCCTGTCATTCTTGGATAATAAAAGCAAGATAGTAATATGCTTCTATATATTGCCACATTCCAAAGTATTCATAGGTATCTTATTTTCTATTATAAATATGTATTTCTGGTTTATTATTAGAAATACAGAATTGTTGGAGTAAAAAAGAGTTTGCATATGAAGAAGTGAATGAATTGGATGCAAAATAATCTGATTTATAGAATTTCTGTTTTAAAGCAGAAGGGGACTTGCTATTTAAACATATGTTTTAGTAAAACAGAGTCCTGTAAGCACTTAACATCTGTATTACTTTTTTGGGACTTAGCATGTACGACCTTACGTTTTTTTTTTTCCCCTTTTCATGGAAGTGTCCTATTGTTCCTGTTGAACCATGAGTTCTTCCCCAGGGCAGGGGCTTTCGCTAAAACTGTCTTGTGGCTTAGGCACTGCTTTGCTAATCAGAGCTCAGTAAATGTCTGTTAATGATGATGAAGAATATTTTGATAATCATATACTCATTCATTTATTTAAAAGCATAGTAAGTCTCAACTGAAGTTGTAGCAACTTTGATCACTCACCTTTCAATTTATATTTTGTATAAATTTATCTAAACTTAAGATACATCTCTGTTAATAAAAGAAATAATTAAGGAAAACAAATGAATTTAGAAAATGTGAGTTTTACAATTTCATTTTTAGGCATCGCTAAATATCGTTATGGATCAAGGAGACACACCAACACTAGAGGAAGATTTGAAGAAACTTCAGCTTTCTGAATTCTTTAGTATATTTGAGAAAGAGAAAGTAGATAAAACAGCTCTGGTAAAAAGAATCTTTTTAAAAACTTTATGCTGTTTCATGTCAGTATTTTTACTGCTTATCTTCTTTTTGCTATTTACTAAGAGCCTGCCTTTTAGTAGCTATTGAGTCATAAATACTTTGTTATCATTGATAATTTTTTTTAATTAATACGTTTTTTAATTACATGAAATGATCTTTGCTGTATGGCGATGTCAAAGTTCAGAATGAGCAATAGCATTATACATATAATGATAGGCAATGACTACACAGCTCATCTCAGAGTATGAGAGCAATAACTAATACTATAAATGACCATGACTTATTCCATCTCTTATTTTGTATTATACTTTCAAGAGCTCTGCTATTGATATTTGTTTGCCACTTAATTTTTTTGTACTTTTTTCTGGCTCGTGGTATCTTCGTTTATTTGACAGATATCTAGTGAATGTGTACCGTGATCAGGTATACCACACCAAGTCTGGAGACAGAGTAGTGAATGAAACAGATATTGTCCCTGTCCATCATGGTGTTTGTTGTTTAGTGGGGAAGACGTGTATTAAATAATCACGCAAACAACTAATTAGTCATGATAAGTGCTAAGTAGGGAAAATACACAGTGATATAATGATATAGGATAGAATGAACTAACCTAGTCTGGGAGGGTAAAGGCAGGTTTTCCTGATAAAGTGAGTGACACTGAAGTAGAGATCTTTATTATTAATCTACTCCATACTTCTTTGTTTACTGTTTGTCCTCATTGCTTGTGTCTATATAATCTTTCTCAGAAAGGTGATAACTGGCTGTTAGGTGAGGATGAGAATCAAGAAGGCTTTTTCTTTTTTTTTTTATTAGGATTTGGGTGAAGATTTACAGAATAAATTCACTTTTCATACAGCAGTTCACATATACTTTGTCTCATGTCATTGACCAAAATTTATAATGCAGCAGCTCCCCTCCCACTTCCTCCCCATAGTTACCTCCTCCCAGTGTCCATCCCTTCATACTCTTCGAGAGGCCCATTGTCTGCCAACCCTGTATATGATCTTGGATACACTCTCCATTTAGACATACATAATTGTTTAGCTTGTTCACCCATCTATCCGTCCCTATACCCATGTTTGCTTTCATTAACAACTCAGTATTGTATTTACAAAGGGGTTCATATTTGTTGTTTGTACTGCCCATGTAACTCTCTCTGTCTTTCTCATCCTCAGTGCTGCCATATTGGTCACTCACATTTGGTACATTGCCCTTCTCTTCACCCAAATCAATATTTATCTCTATCTATCTAACAGCATTCCCTCCCCTTCCCTCCCACCCCTGGTAACCAACAAAGAAAATGTCCTCCAATATATAAACATTTCCTTAACTTTTACAATAACGGACTAATACAATATTTGTCCTTTTGTGACTGACTTATTTCGCTCAGCATAATGTCCTCCAAGTTCATCCACGTTATGCGGTGTTTTGCAGATTCTACATTATTCTTTAGCGTTGCATAGTATTCCATTGTGTGAATGTACCAAAGTTTGGTTATCCATTCCTCAGTTGTTGGACATCTAGGTTGTTTCCAAGTTTTGGCTATTGTAAATAGTGCTGCGATGAACATCGGCGTGCATATATCTGTTCTTGTTATGGCTCTCACTTCTTTAGGGTATATACCTAGTAATGGGATGGCTGGGTCAAATGGTATTTGTATCTCCAACTTTTGAAGGAATCGCCATACTGCTTTCCACAATGGTTGTACCATTTTACAGTCCCACCAGCAGTGTATGAGAGTCCCAATCTCTCCACAACCTCGCCAGCATTTGTTATTTTCTGTCTTGTTGAACTTTGCTACTAGTGCTGGAGCAAGATGGTATCTCATTGTTGTTTTGATTTGCATCTCTCTAATAGCTAATGATCGTGAGCATTTCTTCATATGTTTGTTGGCCGCTTGAATATCCTCCTTGGTGAAGTGTCTGTTCATGTCTTCTGCCCATTTTTTAATTGGATTGTTTGTCTTTTTGTTATTGAGGTGTTGGAGTGTTCTATAAATTCTAGAGATAAGTCCCTTGTCAGATATGTTATTACCAAATATTTTTTCCCAATCTGTAGGTTCTCTTTTGACTCTTTTGGAGAAGTCTTTGGAAGCACATAAACATTTAATTTTTAGAAGGTCCCAATCATCTGGCTTCTCTTCTGCTGTTGGTGCATTTTGAATTATGCTTGGTAGTCTATTTATACCAAATATTAGGGCCCTTAAGTTTGAAGGAAGGCTTTTTCTGTCATAAAGTCATTATTATGTACAAATATGTCTATTTTTTTATAATAACATATATTACTATGCATTGATACTGTGATATTGGTACTTTTTATTCATCTTAAGGTTCTTTTGTGAATAAAATAGTCTTTCCTTCTTGAAGTTATTAATGATCATGTATCACTAGGAAGCTAGAGCAATATAAAGTCAAGAACAGCAGAAAGCCTTGGGGTCAGGGCATTTAGTATGTTTTGTTTTGCCTAGAAATAATTAAGACATTTTGTTTTCTTTGCCCAGGGATTATGTACAGACAAAGATCTTCAGGAAATGGGGATCCCCTTAGGACCAAGAAAGAAGATATTAAACTATTTTAGGACTAACAAAACTTCAATGGTATGTGCTTAATATTGTTTGTTAGAACAAATAATTCTTTGACCTGCATGTGTATACTCATCTTTGTGAGATAAATACTCTGAGGAGCTAAGCAATTTTAATAATTGGTCTTTGGCTTTCTTTGTAGAAATTAAACATTTCTTTATCTGTGTTCTTAAAAATATTATTTGTATCAGAAGTGTTATCATCCCTGTACTATTCCCACCATTTTGTTTTTTTCCCCCCTTTCATTTTTAAAAAAACAACCCTTTTTTCTTAGAGGAAAAGAAAAACCTCAAGAAATTTCATTGGGATATAATATACATGGTATAAAATTTACACATTTAAAGTGCACAATTTAGTAGTGCAATTTAGTATGTTCAGCTTAACCATCAACCAGTAAACCAGTTACTGTCAAGTTGATGCCAACTCATGATGACCCTATGTATGTCAGAGTAGAACTGTGCCATGTAGACTTTTCATTGGCTCATTTTTTTGGAAGTAGATTGCCAGGACTTTTCCCCAAGATGCATCTGGGTAAACATCAACCTCCAGCCTTTTGTTTAGCAGCCACACATGTTGACAGTTTGCATAATCAAGGAACTCTTTGCAACCATCACCACTATCATATTCCATAACACTTCCATCCCAGCAAAAAGAAACTCCGTACCCATTGGCAGTCACTGCCCACTCCTCTCTTCCCGAAGCCATGACAACCACTAATCCAGTTTCTGAACCTGTGGATTGCCTATTCTGGACATATCACATAAATCAAATCATGTGTCTTGTGTGACTAGCTTCTTAATTTAGCCTATTATTTTCAAGATTCATCCATGTTATAGCATGTATTAGTATTTCTGCCATTCAGTTTTTCTTCTTCTTGGCCACTGAGTGCCTTTTCATACCCAACTTTTTAGGAGGTGTCTCAGTTCTTATTTAAATCGTCTGTTCTTGGCCCAGTATTTGCATCATTTTCTTACCACAGAGACTTGCCTAGATGAGAGGGGCACAGCATTTCATAGAACTACTAGCAATCCTCAACATTGCTTCCCATGATGCTCTGCTATTGTTTTCTCTCATGGTGGTTGCCAAAAGTTTCAACTGCTGTCCAGCTAGTTGTGTGGAACTTTTGTCATCTTGAAGTGTAGGAATGTTAGTTTATACTTTAAGGCAACTATTGTTTTCATCAAGGAGCTCTAGTGGTGTAGTGGTTAAGGCATTTGGTTGCTAGCCGAAAATCAGTCGTTCAAACCCACCAGCTGCTCCTGCTTCTGTAAAGATTTATAGCCTTAGAAACCCAATGGTCACTATGAGTTGGGATTGAGTGAGTCTGGCACTCAATTGAGTGGCAGTGAGTTTGGTGGTTTTTTGTTTTTGGTTGTTTTCATTGTCTATATCTTGTTTTCTAAGGGTCTTTCCCTAGATTTGTAGGCTACCATTGCAAAACTTTCTCAAGTATCTTTTCAAACCAGCAGAAAACTATGTAACTCTCTAGTTATATTTACTACATAGCAGCTCCACAGAACTGCTTTTTATTTTTTAGGGTATTAATAGACCAGCTCCACAATCAGATTCAGAGATGAATATGTCTAACATCCCCAAAGATTCTGAGTTCTGCAGTAATATTGGTGATACCAGAAATGGTGACTTTCTGAATGTTGGCATTGGGCAGGTAACAATACTAATTCCCTTTGGTGGTTTTATGCCTGTCATCGGTATGGCAGGAACTGGTGTGACTTTTTTATTAATGAGAGATGCTTTTATTTCCTCATGCCAGGTATCTGTAAAATACCCCCGGCTCATCTATAAACCAGAAATATTCTTTGCCTTTGGATCTCCCATTGGAATGTTCCTTACTGTCCGAGGATTAAAAAGAATTGATCCCAACTACAAATTTCCAACATGCAAAGGTTTCTTCAATATTTATCACCCTGTAAGCATTGTACAGCTATTGTGATTTCACCTGAATATTACGGCTTTTTGGTAAATAGCACGTAATTTTCTGTGATGTTGACTTGCCTTTTTTTCTGTACTATTCTGTAGTGATGAGACAACTTACACTGTTGATCTGAAAGTATTGTGGGAGAACACACATACCTTTTCCTAGCTAACTTGTGAATACTCTTGCTTTAAGGTATACAGGTTGTCTTCAGCAGAGATAAATGTAGCTTTTATTTTTCTTACGTAGTTTGATCCTGTGGCCTATAGGATTGAACCAATGGTGGTCCCAGGAGTGGAATTTGAGCCAATGCTGATTCCACATCATAAAGGCAGGAAGCGGATGCACTTAGGTAAGTTTACGTACAAAACTTGGTAATTCTGGACCTTCTGGCCAGTGCAAACGGACTGGACTGTACTAGTTCTATTCAGCTATTGGGTCTGCAATGCTTTGTAAGCTATTTAATGTCTTTACTTACATGTGTTTTAGAACTGAGAGAGGGGTTGACCCGAATGAGTATGGACCTAAAGAACAATTTGCTAGGCTCCCTGAGGATGGCCTGGAAATCTTTCACCAGAGCTCCATACCCTGCCTTACAGTCTTCAGAAACTGAAGAAGAAACTGAAGCAGAGGCAGAATCAAGTTCAGAGAAGGCCACTGGTCAGTGACACTGTACACGTTGATTTCCTTCATTGGGGCAGATAAGGGCTTCTTGGTGTGGAGTTCTTAATCTCCTAGGGCCTTCATTTCCCCCTTTTTACTCTGTAGGGCCTACTTCATGGGTGTTGATGGGCTTTTAGCTCTTCCAGCCTTTTCTGTCATCTAATAGCTATAAATTACAGACAAACAGTTATTTATGAGGAAAAATGCTAAGAGAAACTAAGCATCTCATGTCTAGGCTTTAAATCATTCTCCACTTGGGAACTGTGGGGGTGATGTTAGGAGCTTCCTCTGTGAAGCCTTTGCTTCTACAAGGCGAAAGTCTGTACATTCATCAATCAGTTCTGTTCCCTCCTGGAACGGCTTCATTGTTCTGGCTGGGGACTAGCTAAGATGGCTGGCTGTCCCTGCTGTTGAGTCAGTCCTGACTCATAGCCGCCTCTCCCTGGGTGTCCGAGGCAGTATCACTACGGAAGTAGATTGGCCTACCTTCCTTCCGAGGAGTGGCTGGTGGGTTTGAACCTCCAGCCTTCTGGTTAGAAGTCAAATACCTTAGGCAGTGTGCCACCAGAGCTCCTAGCTAAGATTGTTGTTGTTGTTGTTATGTGCCATCGAGTTGGACCTGACTCATAGCGACCCCTCCTTGGGTTTCCGAGGCAGTATTGCTACAGAAGTAGATTGCCCCATCTTTCTTCTGAGGAGTAGCTGCTGGGTTTGAACCGCCAGCCTTCTGGTTAGCAGTCAAGTGCCTTAGGCACTATGCTACCAGAGCTCCTTCTAGCTAAGATACCTCCTCTTAATTGAAAAGTTAAAATTGCATACTTTTGCTTTAGTTTCTAATGCCTACAGAGCTATATCCTTGGTTGCATTTAGTTTATAAACCTAAGGCAAATGAATTCGCTGTCAAAGGTACAGGTAATGAGATAAGCCAAAGAAAAAAGGGGACCTGAGGAGTTTTAAAGAAATTGAGAGAAGGAAGAGGAGAGAGCTCATCTAGTAAACTTAGAATCTGAGGGAAAGCACCAGGACAGCCCAGGGGATGGTGCTAAAAGCTTTTGGACTCTTATTCTGACTCTTCTATATCCAGATGTTAACACAGATGAGACCTCTGTGGCAGTTAAAGAAGTCCCACCCATCCATGTGGGAATGCTGAATGGAGGCCAACGCATTGACTATGTGCTACAGGAGAAGCCCATCGAGAGTTTTAATGAATATTTATTTGCTTTACAGAGCCATCTGTGCTACTGGTAAGTGGTAGTTTTTATCTTTGTTTCTGTCTTTTATTTAATTATTTCATAGGTATTTGATAGATGTGGAGAAGGAGAAGGTCAATGTACATTTTTTTGAGGACAAGAGGAATTTCTCATTTAGAAAGTTATAAAATAGGACAATCTTGTCATCGTTAAAAAAATCTGATTTAAATACATTGTTTTATTTAATTGCAGTTGGTTAGAGTGTGGGGCTGATGAGGACAGCAACTGAGTTCAATTAGCTTAGTTTTAAAAGTGTTTGCTTTTGGCCATTGGTGGGACACGATGGGTGCATATGAATGATGGGTGCATATGCTTTCCTATTGCTAAAAGAATTTTAAGAAAACTATTGTAGCACAGTGCCTAAGGCATTTGACTGCTAACCCAAAGGTTGGTGGTTCAAACCCACCAGCCACTCTGTGGAAGCAAGACTGGGCAATTTACTTCCGTAAAGATTTACCGCCTTGTCAACCCAACGGAGGTTGCTATGAGTCAGAATCAACTCGATGGCAGTGGGATTGGTTTGATTGTTAAATAATTTTAAAGGCTGTTACAGTAGCAATTTAATTTTTTTGAAAAATTTTTATTGTGATTTGAGTGAAAGTATACAGAACAAATTCATTTTCCATACAGTAGTAGCTCACATACACTTTATCTCATGGTAGTGACTGCAGTTTCCTATAATGCAACAGCTCCCCTCCCACTTCCTCTCCACAGTTACATCTTCCCAGCAATTTAATTTTCATTAAATACTATTAATTGCCCTGAGGAGGATTACAGAATGGATTAATAGTGCTTATTGAAATACAATCTTATACAACTTAGTCATTGAAGAAATTTTAGAAAAGGGCAGTAAAGCAAGGAAAATAAGATGGGTTAGGGATAAATGTTGAAAAATTCATGTTTTAGACTCCTGCAGAGGTGGGCCACGTATTCAGTTGAGCTTTCTACTAATAGACAAAGCAAAGAGGGGAAATGTGTCTTATTACATCCAGAGTTTGCATAAGATAGAAACAAATGAGTACACAGGAATATCACGCGTGTGTGTGTGTGTGTGTGTGAGATTGCTTTCTTGGTATTGAGACTTGAGAAAAATTTTTCTGTATGTAAATTTTCTGATAAAGGGATTATTATGTGATACAATCAATATCATCTTTATATAATACAGTACAGGTTATGACAAAGTGCAATTCAGTAAAAGCAATCTTGTAAGCAGTAGTCAGGACATTAGACAATGTGTAGCATTGGGAAGGTCAACCGTGAAGGAACTGTTTCAAGTGCTGAGGAGCAAGGATGTCTCCTTGAGGACTAAGGTGTGCCTGACACAAGCCATAATATTTCCAATAGCCTCGTATGCATGTGAGAGCTGGACAATGAATAAGGAAGACCGAAGAAGAGTTGATGCTTTTGAGTTGTGGTGCTGGCGAAGAATGCTGAAAGTACCATGGACTGCTAAAAGAACTAACAGATCTGTCCTGGAGGAAGTGCACCCGAAATGCTCCTTGGAAGCGAGAATGGCCAGACCTCGTCTCACCTATTCTGAAGGGACCATTCCCTGGAGAAGGATGTCATGCTTGGTAGGGTGGAGGGACGACGAAAGAGGGGGAGGCCTTCAACGAGACGGACTGACATGGTGGCTGCGATGATGGGCTCAAGTATAAGTATAGCAGGGATCGTGGAGCTGGCATTGGATCAGGCATTGTTTCGTTCTGCTGTGCACGGGGTCACTATGAGTCAGAAATGACTCGAAGACACCTAACAACAACAACAACAGTTTTATAAGGTGCCAAAAATCAGTGCTGTCCAGGAATGGCCTCTGCTGATCTGGCTTGATAAAATAGCTGAAAAAAGCGTTCTTTTAAAATTTCTGAGTAAGCAGTAGATTCATATGGTTCAAAATTCAAACAAAGATAAATAATGAAAAGTTTCCCTTCTACTTTGTTCCCTACCATCTGGCTCCCCTCTCATACTCATCTGACATATATATCCTAAAAACATTCTTCCAGAGATACAGATGTGTAAGTATGTATATTATTTACCCTTCTAAAAAATATAAATATTATATAGGCATTGCTCTGTGCCTCGCTTTTTCTGTTAATATGTCTTGAGGTTTTTGTTATCTATTGTGTATCAACACAACAACAACAATTGTATATCAAGAGTTTATTCTCTACTAGCTGCATACTATTCCACTGTATGGATGTGCTAATGGTATTTAATAGTCCTCTATTAATGGACACTTAGGTTTCTCTCCTTCTGCTCTTTACATACCTCCTTCATGTTATTTCACTCATTCATGAGTTTATCTGTAAGGTAAATACTTAGTGTTGGAACTGATGACCCATAGTATTTGGTAGATATTGCCAAATAGAGGTTGTACCTTTACATACTCTTACCAGGAACATAGGAGAGGTCTGTTTCTTCATAGCTTTTCCATCACAGTTTTACCAGCATTTTAAGTCTGCCAGTTTGTTGGATGAAAAATGGTCCCTCACTGTAGGTTTTTTTTAAATATAAAAAACTTTTTTGAGGCATGATTGGTATACATTCAACTGCATATATTATTTAAAATGTACAATTTGAGTTTTGACATGTATTCACCTATGAAACCATCAACACAGTTGCAGGTATATGTATGTGAAATCTATCACTCCAGTATTTCCTTGTGCCCCTTTGAATCCTTCCCTCTTTTCCTCCTTCCTTCTCCTCCCTATCTTCAAGGCACCACTGATCTGCTTCTGTCACTACACATTAGTTTGCATATGACTTTTATATAAATGGAGTCACACAGTATGTACTCTATTTTCTGGCTTTTTTCATGCAGTATAATTATTTTGAGATTCATTGATGTATTTGCATGTATCAAGGGCTTGTTCCTTTCTATTGCTGAGTAGTAGTCCATTGTATGGACCACAATTTGTATAGCCATTCACCTCTTGATAGTTATTTGGGTTGTTTTCAGTTTTTGGCTATTAGAAACAAAGCTGCTGTGAACATTTCTGTACAAGTTTTTGTGTAGACATATTCTTTAATTCCTCTTGGGCAAATAGATACCTAGGAGTAGAATGGCTGGATATTGTCTGGTAAATGTATCTTTCTTTATCCCCACCAGCATTTTGCATTCCCACCACCATTTTACATTCCCACCAGCAGTGTTTGAGAGTTCTACTTTTTCCATGTCCTGGCCAGCACTTGGTGTGATTAGTCTTTTTCACTCTTACCATTCTATATAGGTCATAATGATATTTCATTGTTTAAATTTGCACTTCCTGAGGGGTTGCTATGAGTTGGGGCCGACTCGACGGCATATAACAACAACAACAGTGACTAATGAGAGCTCTGGTGGCATAGTGCCTAAGGCACATGACTGCTAACCAGAAGGCTGGTGGTTTAAACCCACCAGCCACTCCTCGGAAGGAAGATGGGCAACCTACTTCCATAGTGATACTGCCTCGGAAACCCAAGGACGGGTCGTTATGAGTTGGGTCCAACTCTATGGTACATAACGACAACAACAGTGACTAATGATATTGAGCATATTTTCATGTGTTTATTTACCATCCATATATCTTTTGTGAAGTGTCCAAATCTTTTGTTCATTTAAAATATTGGATTCTCTTAAATACTCAGTTGCAAGAATTCTTTAACTCCTTGTCGGATATATTTCATCCCAGAATGTAGCTGTTTTTTTCATTTGCCTACTAGAGTGTTTTGAAAACAAAAGTTTCTGATTTTGATGAAGTTTAGTTTATTAATTTGTGCTGTTTTGACAGAATCTTTACCAAATCCCAAATCATTAAGATTTTTCCCATGTACTAGAACTTTTATCATTTTAGCTCTTATATTTAGGTCAAGATCCATTTTTATTCAGGTATTTAAAAATATATATATATATTATTGAATTTCTGTGAAAATTTATACTCAGTTAATTTTTGAACACAGTATATGAGGTGAGGACATTTAGCATATTGTTGTTTGTTGTCATGGAGTCATTTCCGACTGACTGTTACCTGATGTATATGCGGTAGAATTGCTCCGTAGGGTTTTTTTTTTTTTTTTTTGGTGATTTGGGTGAAGATTTATAGAGCAAATTCACTTTCCATACAGCAGTACATATACACTTTGTCTCATGACATTGACCACAGTTTACCACAATGCAACAGCTCCTCTCCCACTTGCTCCCCATAGTTACCTTTTCCCAGTATCCATCCCTCGTGGGCTCCTGCCTCCTGAGCTGTCTCCCTGTGCATAAGCAGCCCTTCTTTCTCCCATGATTGTTCTCTCCAAGGAGTGTATCTACTTGAGGTAAATGTTCAACTCATATGCCTGTATTTGTTTGGCTGGAAACCACAGGTGTGGGTTCAATTCCAGACCTGAAGGGCAGCTAGGGGCCATAGTCTCAGTGGTTCTACAAGGCTCCATCAGACCAACAAACCTGGTCCCCCCCTTTTTTTTTTCTCCAAGTGATTTTGAGTTTTGTTCCATATTTTCCCTCTCTATCAAGGATCTCCTACATAGATCCCCTTCCAAGTGGATGACAGTGGTAGCTGGGCACCATCTGGTTCTTCTGGTCTCATAGTTGTATAGGCTGCAGATCAGATGGTGTGCCAGTCGCTAGGACTAATTGTTTCCAGGAATTTTGGTTTTCTTCATTCTTCTTTGCTCTGGACGATGAGAGACCCATTGTTGCATCTAGATGGCAGCTTGCTAGCTTTGAGATCCCAGTCACTACTCGCCAAAGTAGGTGGAACAATGTTTTGTATAGTATGTTATGCCAATTGAGCTTGACGTCCTCTGCGACTATGATCCCAAGCCCACAGGTTCAACTACTTGGTCTTTCTGGGTAGCTGGCTGTGACCAAGGCATGACCACAACCTTGCCCCTTGTTAGCTCTACTATATACCTAGGAATTCTGATCATTCACATAAACTTATAGGACCATTGTCTGCCAACCCTATATATGTTCTTGGATACCCTCCCCATTTCATAGACATACC